CAAAGCGTACAGATGGGACAAAATGATCTCATGGGGGGAGATTATCAAAAGGACAAAACATCATTGATCTATCACAGGCTTAATGATCCAAAAAATCTGCCACCACCATGGGATAAAGGGAGACCACAGAAATAGAGGGTGGGACCGTATGTAAGGGAATGGGGACACATTCAAATCAACCAGATTGCTGGAAAAAGGAACTTTATTCAGTGGTGGTGAGTTTACCCAATAATTCCATTTGAAGAGCATGTATAACTAAATGTAAGAGGCACATCAAGTGCACACAATATATAAATATAGCATAGCTTCAGCCTCCAGCTAGGTAGGTAGCTGTTGAAGCATATGTTATTACAGTTTTCCATTTTTCATCCTTCAGCTCATGCAAACCAACCCCTTTTATCTCTTTTATCTGCTCTTTTTCTCCTGTTACATTTTTGGACCACAAGTCAAAAACAAACACACTGGGAGTTTCTTAAAACCCAAGCCCTAACCATATACTTACGTTCTTAATCACATGTAGAACCATCTTACACCACTTTATTTGTGACAAAGAAATATAAGGGGCGCGCGACTAGTGTATTACTGGTAGGTATGTGGGCTTACTATAGAAGAAGCAGAACACAGGGTCTGAGAAAACCGTTGGGCTATGTTGCTGTTAGGTCGCTTTCGAAGCTTGAATTGCGTAGGCTCTAGCAAGATTAGGGAAGTAGATGGTAGAGGGTTGCTGGTGCAGTTTCATTTATTCATGTATTGTAACCATGTCTTGGCTTTTGTTTCTCGCTTTTGTTGCTTTCCAGTACTGCAAAATTGTATGAGTATAATTATGATGGAGTGATCTGCCAGCCAAGCTGTATTCGCTGACTTGAGAGAGTATATGCCCCCCCCTTTCCTTCCACCATTTCTTGCATTAACTTCACCATCAATACTCCAATCCAATCCCTCTAATCCTCTTCACACATCCCAGAGTTAGGGACACATCAATTTACACCTCTCTCTGCCACTCACTCTCACCATCACTTTCTCCTGCAAATCTTCTACTTACCTCCAAACTGCTCCTCTTCTTCTATGCAACTCCATCCTTTCTAATCCTTCCTTCTCATTCACACTATGCAAATCCTAACGTAACTAAGTAATGCATACATTCTGTTCAAAATCTTATTTGTCCAATACATTTTTATTATCTCCTTCAAGGATTAAGAAACCCTAAATTGAATATAAGATGCTTATGAAAATACCTTTGAGCATATGAATTTAATAATAATAATAATAATAATCCCTTGAAAAGTGGTAATTACTAGAAGAGAATATGTGAAATAATGAGATGTGAGTAGTTGAATGTTATGAAACATTATGTGGGTAGCTATGTAACTAGATAGTGCTGCTATTGTTGCCGTCCTATAATGATCTTGCGAAACAAAATAATATAAAAAAAATTATAATGCTCCAAACTCTTATGTCAGATCATGGTGGTCCAACAGATGCGTATAATAATGCCATACCCAGATGTGACCCTGTAAATGAACTATTCCACTCAACATTTTTCTTCCTTCAATTCAATTTCGCCTGCAACATCTACCATTAATTATTATTATCATCGCATATACATGGAACATATACCATGCCTAAATATATACCTAACTATCTCAACATTATATTATTTAAACAATTATAATTAACATGTTTCATAATTTTTACAACACATGATAGTTTCTAATATTCAATAATAATAAGAATAAATCATTCATCATAAAACTTTTTATGGATGAGATAGTATACAGTTGTATCCAATTAATAGTTTCATAACTCATACGGCATTTTTCATATAACTTGTCCTCATATATTTAATGTTATGTTATGAATTTCTATCCCATAATAAACTCATTTTACTTTTTAGGTACTTTATATTACTTTGGAGGACCAATTTTAAATGTAATATTAAATGTTTTATTTGTTGTTTAAAATAAATTAAAATTTTCATATTATCATAACCTTAATCGGAAAATCTTTCTTAGTATGAAATTCAGTGTCTAAATTCTTTGATAGGTGCGACCTATAAAAAAAAAAGAACGAACTTTTATTAACATTGATATGATCTTGAATAATTTTTATTAATCAATTATTGATATTTTAATTATATTATTGAAGTTCTACAAAAATAGAATGTAACACATGTTAATTGAAAGATCGCAGAACAACTTTTTAAGACTTTGAAATCGAGACTGAAATAGCTCGACATATTTTAAACGTGGAAAAGTATGCGAAAGCCAACCATACAAAAGAAGAAGAAAAAAATATTCAGAATAAGTTCTATAGATCAGAAAATATAATTAATATTCTCAGAAAAAAAGTAGCTTAAAATTTATTCTTTTCAAATGTACGAAATATTTGTAAAAAGTTATTAATAATACTTATAGTTATTCTTATCGTAAAAAAAAAAGGAAATTAACTTGATTAAATTCATGACAAACTACATTATGTTATTATGAAAGAAAAAAAAACATAAATTTATAAATATTTAAACTATTTAAAAATATGATAGAATAATTTTAAAAATTATTTTTTAAAGTATTTAATATATGATTTCAAGATATCTGTAATATTATAACATTTTTATAAGAAAAAGGATAAGATTATCTTGAGGAATAAATAAGATAAAGGGGTAATGTCTGAATCTTGTGGTTGAAGATTGAATTTGTAATATGATGTATATTAAGAAGGTAGATTTAGGGGTTGATCTGTTAAAAAATACAAAAAAGAAATTTATTATTTAATATTTTATAATATAATTATAAAATAATAATTCATTTAAATGATTAGAATAATTTTTTATATTTAAAATAAATGAATATATTTTTTTATTAGTTTTAAAATGAAAGGAGTGAAATTGGGTATGAGGGACCAGAGTAGAGTGTATATGGGCGCGAACACCTGATTATCACTGATAACACTTACTTTATTCTCGTTTTATGGCATCAAATCAAATCCGAAAGCGTGATTCACATGTTATGTTATGCACACTCTCCATCACCCAACGTTACTAAAAAAATATATTTTAAATTTATACTTTTTTTTTACCAAGCATATGAAAGATTTGGTTTTTAAAGTGCATATTTTTTATTTATTTATATTCTTACGTATTATTTGTGTATTTTCTTTTTCTCTTTGATCCTGGTTGCAAGAAGTGAAGAATTATTCTTGTTATTGTTCTTTTAGGTTTGGAAGAACTTTAACACGTGGCATGTGATTAATTGAATATGTTTGCAATAACCATCAAATTCATGTTCTTGAGGGAATTTTTTTTTTTCACAAGTAGAAACCAATTCATTGAACGGCATCTTCCATGTTAGTTTCCTTATATCTTGCGGAATTTCTGACAAAAATCCTCTGTCATTTTATTCATCTCTTTTTAAGTACTGTTAATGTGTGTACAAGATACTATCAAATCCATGTAGATTATACTTTTCAAAATTCAATCACATGCTGTTTTGTTTCATTCAAAACTCAATTATTTTTATCTCTCTGTTACTTCTAGACACACAACATTTCATTAGTTTAGTGATGAGAAAACAAAAATAGTGTTTTTATATTTTAAAATTAAATATAAATATTCAAGGTTTTCTTATAAAGCATATAGTTTAGCAATTTAATTAACCTTTTATATCTTCTAGATTTATTATGATTGTATAGTATGTTAATTAATTTTGTTTATTCTATATGTTAGCATTTTTGTATTTTGTTAAAAATATAAATCCATGTATTATGATATACTTGATATATTCACACACACACAAAATTATATTGATTTATTAGACTTTTTTAGGTTCTTAAATGTTAACAACCCATAATGTTTTGTTTTAGCTTTAATATTAAAAAGTTGTGAAATTGCATTTGTTTAATATTATTTTAGATATTATTAATTATTATTTATAAACACACACAATATAAATCATTAAATATCGACTGAATACCTTCATTTTTAAAAACATGTATAAACGCACTAGATATGCTAAAAGATTAATTATAAAAAATACCATTTTTTAATAAATAAAAGTATTTGAAATTGAAATTATTCAGTATACATATCATTAGTCAATAAACAAAAATATTTAATGTTAAACTAATAACTTTTCTAATAAATGTTAGAACAATACTACTAATGTAATTTGAGTTATTCCTATGATATTTTGATTTTCTACCCCCACTTACCTTGTCAGGATCTTTTTTCTAGGGAAGAAAGAATTTATTAGAAAACAAAGGTGTAGGCCCAGAACCAATGGTTTTCAAATTTTTAGTATCATGTCCATATAATACACTGAGCAAAGATCATGAAGCTTGTTCCTTTTTGCACCTCCATATTTTCTTCATGCATCCTCTATTATAATGATAATATTGACATAATGTAAATAGATTTTGAAAATTTTATCTTTGTATTAACCTTAAAAATATTTTTCATATTTTACATATATTATGAGGTTACGGAAGAAATTACTGGGGTGCATAAAGAAGCAGCCTTACATAAAATATGTGTTGAGGCCCATTATTGAGAGCCGAAGCCTAGCATTATTTTTCCCCATAATGTGAAACCAACCAATATTTCAGATGGTCAACAAAAAATATCCTTCCTTTATGTCGATACTAATTGTATTTGAAACATATTTGTTACATTAATCATATAATTTTTTTTTTTAACAATGTCGCTCTTTATATTTTAATTTAATTATATTTGGTTTGAATGAAATATTTCACAAATGCTTATTTTGAAAGAAAAAAAATACTACCAAAGTATTATTGGGAAACTAATAAAGGTTACAATTGGGTAATAAAAAAATATTACCAACGTATTATTTGGAAGCTAAATAATATAAGAGAAAATATATATTAATGAACTGGAATTCTACGTGAAGCATCACATTTTGTGGACATCTTCACTTACTAAAACAAACAGCTAAAAATCATTTAGAGTGTGGCTTATTCTGAATTAAGGAGGATAGTATTCGTGTCTATCGCCTCAAGGTATGCAGAATATACTCCGCATAAAGATCCCTGCAACAAATCAGAGACAAGATATAGCAGTGAAGTGAAATGAAATGATGCAGATTGCTTTGCAGTATTTATGTTACATAAATAAAGAAGATGAATGACCAAATGCAGAAATCAGATAAGCATGGTAGAGGTAGACAATATTTTGTTATGGAAATATGATGATCTTATTGGCCATGAATTATGTCTCAACCAATTTTAACTAGATATTAGAGTTAAAAAAAAAGAATCAAACTAGGTGCTCTAAAGATACTGACATTGAGTGCTGGATGGCTTCAATAGCAGTTGATGCAGGTAAAAAATCATTAACTGCTACCTCCTTGTTCTCATTCTTCTTGTCTGATCAATATGTTAAGAAATGCACTCAAATTTTTTATGAAAATGTAAAATGAGCTTAAAGAACGTTTACTTGCACATTTATTTCATGTTTTCATTCTCTGTTTTCACCTTTTAATTTCAAAAGTTCACATTCCTTTCAGTCTATTTCTTGGTTTCAAATATTTGCGAAGGAAACACAGGAGACAAGTGTTTTTTGTAGTTGAAAAGTGAAAACAGGAAATAAAGTTGCCAGTAAACGTTCCCTTGGTTATCAAGTTCTTGGAATAAGGTTTTTAAGGATACAATCTTCAAAGAAGCGTCGAATCTCAGAGAGGCGATGAGGTGGAAGTTCTTTTAAGTCAGTGTAGTGCTTGTACTCAGGATCGTCTGCACATACTGCAATAATTTTATCATCCTTCTCCCCCTGTGTCAATAGGACAAACTTGTTATTCTTTAAATGGTTGGAACAAAAAAGCCACTGTTTTATCAACCCAAAGGACAAAAAGTTATACCTGATCAATCATAGGCATGAGTCCAATGGCCCTGGCTCTTAGGAAACAACCAGGAAGAATTGGCTCCTACCATGACAGTAATTCAGTAAGTTTACTAATGGAACCTTGTTGGTATATAGCTCAAACGTGCTCATCAAACTAAGTACTAATCCGATAACAGAATATGGATAAAGCAGCATTTGAGTTTATATGACATCTTTTGAATGAATGTGGAAACTTGAAAATCGTGATAATCAAGTGGGGGGCTAAGTGAGGATTCAGAGTTGATGAATCGAGAACCGTAGAAAATTTAAGTTTTATCATTCGTTAAGGCCTCTTGTATAAGTTGGATGAGTTTAAAATGGTAAGAATTTACCTGCATGAGAACCAAGACATCAATTGGATCATTGTCTTCACATAGAGTTCTTGGAATGAAACCGTAGTTATGAGGATAAACAACTGATGAGTACAAAATCCGATCAACCTGATAATTACTTAATATGTCAGAAAAATGTAAAGATAGACGAAAAATGGGATGCATAATTCAGAATTTGGAAGGCTCAAGACTCAAGAATCCACAAGGCTTTACAAAAATGCTCATACAAAATATCATCTTGAAGAGATTTATCTGTAAAATCTTTTTCAGCATACTCCCATTTCAAAACCAAAAAGAAATTGGTTCATACCTTAATTAATCCAGTCTTTTTGTCAAGTTCATATTTTACTTTGCTTCCTTTAGTGATCTCCACAACCTGAAAATAGAATCTAAGCTAGTAAGCATTGAACAAGAATCAGCAACATATATAGTAGGAAATTTCTGGTCAAGAATGGAGTGACAGTTTTGCATGAACATTGTTATTAGGAAAAGACAAACTTATGGAGATTTTAGAGTGCAGGGTGCTAAGAATTACAGGATTATGCCACTCGTCAAATTCAAGAATCTATAGCAACCAGATAAACGATTCATATACTTCCTGCATTGTTTGTAAGTTACGGAATTGCGTCCCAAAAGGTAATAAGGCTGTCTGCTACAAGTTATGGAATGTTTGGACTTCTAATTATAATTCTAAATCTACGTCTTCTATGTAAGAAAAAAAAAAAAAAAAACATTGGTTTGTAGTCGATTTTGCACCTACTTCTCATAAAAATCAGTAAAGGTTGCATCCATGGTGCAACCGCTAATCTGGTATTAATAATATACCTGCCAATGTGATAGGTTTCGAAAACTGGATTAAATTTGAATTTAATGCAGAATGCAATAGTCCAGTACATTGGTTACACCCCAGAATTTTCGTGTAAAGTAAATGTATAAAAGAATGGCATCATTGTGGACATTCTTTTCCAGAATCAGAACTTACACAATTGAAAATCATAGGCGCACCAGGTCCTGCACATAAAACCTAAGAACATTAACAACTTTTAATGTGGGGTAAGACCAAACCAATCCTTGTTTTAGCATAAGCATTTGGCATAGTCACAAGATCATTTAACAACATGATTTGAGTGATCTAATGTTGAAGTAAATGTCAATGAAGCAACACAGTAAACAAGAGTGTACCAATTTCAAGATCATGCCAAGGGTGAGCAGCAACTGATCTCCTAGACAGAGATGAAAGAATCCTTTCATTTAAGCGAGGTGTTTGGCGGGTTGCACGAACTTCTTCGCCATTGTCCCCAGCACTCATCTTCAAAGACAAAACACAGCAGGTCATGATGATGAACATTCTTAACATTCCATTAAAAATTGTTTCACTTTCATCAGATGTTAAAAGTTTACCTAGCATTAATAATAAGTGGTAATAGAGAATTTGCACACTTTATTGCAAATACAAATCTACCCCAAAAGACCATGACATGACATGACACTCAAAAAGTAAAAATGATAACTTGATGCATGAAAACAATGCCATATACTAAGGTTTGAAGAAAGGAAGTAACATACCTTGAACACTAGTATATGAAAATATTGACGAAAGAAGGTAAAGGTTGGAGCAAATAGATCCGAGGAAGAAGATGAATTGTTGTGTGTATAAATAGAGGTCAAGAGAAGAACATGGTCAGTCAATTATTCACTCATCTCCGGTTTCTACATGAGACAAGTATGCTTACCACTCCACCTGTTCTTTGGAACTTTCAAAAGACAATTTCTAGCCAATAAAAAACAACACAAATACAAGTAGTTTCATTTTTTATTAACTTCCTCTAATATTATTTAAGGAAAATGATAATTTGAGAATCCAAATCCATACCACTCCTATAAACAACTCTCTTTTAATATTGAATAATGTCTCAAGAGAAATAATTAAATAAAATGTTAGAAATATAAAACTCATTTAATGTTATTTTTAAAATGATTTATAATTTTTACTATTTTAGAAATATAAAAATTATTTATTAGGTTAATTATTAAAAACGTTTTATATGACTCATTTATGTATATTAATTAGTACTTTAAGTATATTTAAATTTTTTTTAATGAAAATGATTTTAACTACTTCTAGGCATGGCAACTGGGCGAAGCGGGGCGGGCGTGAGGCGGGTTTTGCCTTTCGATCCCCGCCCCGACTTTTTTAATCATCTTTGTCCCTCGTTCCCGATTCCCACGGGTTACAAATTAAGTCTTCATCCCCGTTCTCGCTGGATTTTGGGTTCCCGTCCCGTCCTCGATCTATATTATTTTTAAAAAGATAATTACATTTATAATAAAATAATTTTACTATCTATTTTTTATATATAACTAAATATTTATAATTTTATAATTTATAATTATTATTAATTAAATATAAATTTTAATTTACTATATTTATATTAAAATATATATGTAAAAGAAATATTTAATCATTTTTTATTTATAATATTATTATTATTATTATAACAATGTATTGAAATATTTGGATACTTATAACATTATTATTATAATATTATATTCAAACATTTGATGATATATATATATATATATATAAGTTAATTCATTTTTAAGTTGTCATTTAAAAATATGAAATATATAATTTATTGTTGAAAGTCCCACATCGCCTACCTCATATCATTTGGTATGGTTTAAATACATGTTAGGCTACTCCACGTATTGCCAATTGGTTTTATGTTGGAACCTTAACATGGTATCGAGCCAAAGCCTAACATCTTTCTCGACATGTTAGGTTACTTCACATATTGCCAATTGGTTTTATGTTGAAACCTTAACATTTATAAAGAAATATTTAATAAGTTAATTCTTTTCGAAGTAATAAAAGTTTAAATTATCAATTCCTTTAAAATACAATTATTTTATTAAGATAAAATTTGATATATGATAAATAAGAATTATAAATAAAATAATATTAGTTATTATTAAGATTTAAGTAAAATATTTAGAAAAGGATAAAGAATAAAAAAAATTAACTTTGTGTTCATCAAATTGGTTAAAAAGATTGAAAAAAAAATAAATTGATGGGAGAGATTAAGGAAATGTGAAAAACTGAAATGAAAGTGATCCTAGCAAAGATCTCATTGATTTGATGAAGTCAAAAATAAAGTCAAGGGTCAACTCTGCAGTAGTCAAACAAGTCACTCGAAGAATGGAAGTCGAAGACTTAGTGTGTCTTAACAGAAAGCTTAGGTAAAACCACTTTACCTTTTCCATCGCATAAAGCTTCTTCATTCATTTTGCAAAATGCCTCAAAAATAGTTTTAAACAAATCAAAAACAAAAGCATTTTGACAAAGAACTTTCTTAATAATGTTTTTAACTCGATATTGCTTTGAAAGAAACGATTAAAATCACTTAGAATGTTTAAAGAAGTGTTTTTACAGTATTTTAATCGATACAAACTTCTTTTAATCGATTAAAACCCTTTATGACCGATTAGAATTCGAATATGACAGTCGAATCAAATATAATCGATTAGACTTTAAAAATGAGCGATCAGATTTATTTTAATCGATTAAAACACGTTTCAATCGATTAAAACCACTTTGGAAGTCAGGATGATCGATCAGAATGAAATTATGACCGATCAGAGTTGGTTATGATCGATCAGAATTGAATTATGACCGATCAGACTTATTTCAATCGATTAAAACAAATTTCAATCGATTAAAATGACTTGAAAATTTTTGTACAGAGTTTAAATCGATTAAAACGCATTTCAATCGATTAAAATAACTTGGAAAATCTTTGTACAGAGTTTCAATCGATTAAAACGCGTTTCAACCGATTAAAACAACTTAGAAAAATTCTGTGCAGGTTTTTAATCGATTAAAACTTCTTTGTATCAGCTAAAATAACTTGGAAAGTTTTATAAGAAGGTTTTTAAACAAATCAATCGATTAATACGTGATTCAATCGATTGTTTTATACTTAGAAAAAGTTTGTAAAATGTTTTAACTGATATAAACATGGTTGTATCAACTAAAACCATTCTGTTAAAGAAACAAAAACGCATTAATGGGTTGAAAGGACTTTTAACAGATTATAGCGGCTATTTCAACAGATTAAAACAAACTTTCAACAGATTAATTAATGCAGCAGATTTGAAAATTCTCTTTAAAAACAGTTTTGCTTGAAATTTTTAAACAGAGATTGAACATCAGCTTTTACACATCCAAAGCAATCAATTCAAGCAACTCGTTAGCATCCTTTTTCCAAGAAAGAATTACAACTCGTTTTGTGAAGTTCTTTTTGAAATCTTTCTTGAGACATATTGCATTCCGTGAAGAAGAAACTTACTGTGGATTAGAGTAATCCGGTTTGAGCTTTCTAAGTCTCTTCTTTGTAAATTCTTTTTCATTACTTTGTATTGTGTTGTACCTGGAATTTGGGTACAAGTTTTTCTACGTACTGGTAGGTGGTTGTAGAAGTTTCCAAGAACTGGAATTTGGTTCTTAGTGGAGAGGTTGAGTACAGGAACCGAAATTTGGTTCTTGTACTTGTTTGGTGCCTGGAATTTGGGCACTCGGTTTCTCTGCAGCTGGAATTTGGTTGCAGAGGTTATCAAGAGCTGGAATTTGGTTCTTGGTGGAGAGGTTAAGTGCGAGAACTGGAATTTGGTTCTTGTACTCGTGTGGTGCCTGGAATTTGGGTACCTGGTTTCTCTGCTAGCTGGAATTTGGTTGCAGAGGTTTCCAAGAACTGGAATTTGGTTCTTGGTGGAAAGGTTAAAGTCGAGAGCTGGAAATTGGTTCCGGTGTTAGAGTAGGTGTAAGATTGTTGAGTCTGTAAAACATCTATTCTAGTGGAACCCAACTGAAATTTGGTTGGAGACTGGACGTAGCCCTGGTATTGGGTGAACCAAGTATAAAATTACCGGTGAAATCTTTCCTAACCTTTCTCTCTTTAAATTCGATTCTCTGCGCTTGTATTGTTTAATTGCTTTGTGATTCGTGAATTGATTAGTAAACTTAATTTTCGGATTAGATAATCTGTGTATTGCGAAAAACTTTCAAAAATCAATTCACCCCCTCTTGATTTAAAACTACTTTTCTAACAATTGGCATCGAGTGAGGTGCTTGAAAGTTAATCAAGTTACTTCGATCCATGGCATTTTCTCGAGGAGCGTGCATTGATAGACCTCCACCGTTAAGTGGAACAGATTACCTATATTGGAAAATAAGGATGAAAATCTTCATTGAATCTGTTAGTATAAATGCTTGGAATGTTATTGAACAGGAAATTGATATTGCTAACGAGAATTCAAGATGATTGTATTGCCAAGAACATCATCTTATCCGCCCTTAACAAAAATGATCTTTTCAGGATTGCACATTGCCAAACAGCTGCACAAATGTGGAAGATTCTTGAAAAGACCTATGAAGAAGCACCAGAAATATGCTTGATGGTCAACTCAGAATCACCAAATACCAGTGTAAGTTCTGAATCTATGAACTATAGCTCATTACAAGATGCTTTTCTTGAAATACATGCAGTAGCAAAGAAATTAGAAACTGAAAATAGAAAATTGAAAAGCATGAATAGGCTTTTAGAAAACAAGATCATTCTTCTTGAAAAGAAAATAACTGATGTGAAAGTAATCCTAGCAAAGATCTCATTGATTTGATGAAGTCAAAGATAAAGTCAAGGGTCAACTCTGCAGCAGTCAAACAAGTCACTCAGAACAAAGGAGCTGAAGACTTAGTGTGTCTTAACAGAAAGCTTAGGTAAAACCACTTTACCTTTTCCATCGCATAAAGCTTCTTCACTCAATTTGCAAAATGCCTCAAAAATAGTTTTAAACAAATAAAAAACAAAAGCATTTTGGCAAAGAATTTTCTTAAACAAGTTATTAACTGATAAAGGTTTGAAAGAATCAATTTAAAACACTTAGAATGTTTTAAAAAGTGTTTTTACAATATTTTAATCGATACAAACTTCTTTTAATCGATTAAAACTCTTTATGACCGATTAGAATTCGAATGTAATAGGTCAGAATGCAATATAATCGATCAGATCTTAAATATGAGCGATTAGAATTATTTTAATCGATTAAAACACGTTTCAATCGATTAAAATCACTTTGGATGTCGATATGATCGATCAGAATGAGATTATGACCGATCGAGTTGGTTATGATCGATCGAATTGAATTATGACCGATCAGACTTATTTCAATCGATTAAAACGCATTTCAATCGATTAAAATAACTTAGAAAATCTTTTCAATCGATTAAAACGAACTTTCAATCGATTAAAA